GAACATCATCTCAAGCGCAGGGCCACACAAAAAAACAGTATTTAATCCTGTATGTATGCCCTGAGGGAGACACACACACACACACACACACACACACAGAGAGAGAGAGAGAGAGAGAGAGAGAGAGAGAGAGAGAGAGAGAGAGAGAGAGAGAGCTGCTTCCACAAGTGTCGTCTTGTATTAATCATGACAGATAGCTATGGCACTATTTCGAACGTTTGCTGCTAGAACAGTAGTATATAGGTACAGAGCTATCCGTTGAACATTCTTTGCAACACCGATCAGCCTCATGACATCCACCCTGATCAGTGTGATTTCTCCTCCTCTTCGACGACAACCGATGTATACTCTTCATATGGTGCCGCCTTCGGTCTTGGCATGGTAAAGACGGGAAACTTACTTGGCTGACAATCAAAAGAGCCACCACGTAGGATTCCCAGTTACTTCCTTGGTGACCTCCTCTAACTGTCAGCTCCACATTCATTCTTTCTGCTGTGCAGTGTGCGCACAAGACAAACTGAGTTTCAGAACGGCACAGTAAAGCGCTCCTTGCAGCTGCTTAGGGCATGATTACACTGAGATGCGACTAGCTTCTGCGGGTTTGGACTGCAACGTTTTTGTCGGATGCATCGGCAATTGACAATTGTACAGTTTGTACTGGCGTGCGTCTTCCCGTCGCTGTTGAGGCGGTGACCATACTTCACTAGGCACACGGAGTGCCGTTGGGGTTGGCGAAGAAGCTAGATGTCCTGATCATGACACAGTCGCGGGGGTTCCCCTTGCTGTTGTAATTGCCCCATCCTCCCTTGTACTGCGCGGCTGAGATTTGGATCTTGATGTACTTGTTCAAGAACCATGGCGCGTCATCCTGAAGGTTCTTCTTGAGGACCCACTGCTGAATGGTGGTGAACTTGTTGGCGCACTTGATTGTGTTCCACGGACCGTTCTCACTGGCGCTCATTCCACACCATTGAGAGTTCACATTCTGCGTTGCGATGTCCACCGTCGCCGTGTCACTGCATGCACAACGAGCCAGAGAAGAAGTGCGCACACACAGCCGCGCACAGAAAAAGAGAAATACATTAGAGGCACACGAATACACTGCTTTAGAGCCCCACCCCTTGTCCAATTTGACATCATACGATCAGGTCATTTTGAAGTCGGACAAACTGAATGACTTGGCCGAGGGAAGTGCAAGGTGGTTAAAAAAAAAAAAAAAAAAAAAAAAAAAAAAAAAAACCTTCAAGCTGCCTTTGTATACATGCAAAAAAAATCAGCGGAGATTCATTCGCAAAATCACGCTGCCTATTTTACGTGGATAAATGAACTAAGATTGAGATCAAGAACGTTGCGGAACAAAGTGTACGCATACTCGTTAATAGTATGTGGGCCTGACGAATTGGCTGGCCCTATGCCACGTCCGCAGCTGGGCATGCATCGGTTGTTGCACGAGCGGCTGGCAAGCGAACGGGACCGTCAATGCATCCAGATTCATTCAGAACAGTCCTACGAGTGAGAATGATCGTCTAAAACGATCCCGAACGAACGACGTATAACAATAAGATAATTACGATGGTGAAGTTATAATTATTAAGTATGAACCCACTCAGTACGCTGATGAAGTGAATAAGTATGCAGTAGTATGAAGTAACTCCTTTCTAGCACGGGTGACCGTGCATCGGTCAGTGAGCGACAGCGTATAATTACTTACGTTGTGACATGGTGCTTGATGCCGCCTGTGCATTGGGTGTACGCCCTGTCGCCACCAGGACAGATGTTCAGCGTAGGTATGACCCACTTGCTGCAGGCAAAAAAATCGCAGTTCGTGAGCGGAGCCGCACCCGCGGGTGATGAAGCGAGCATCGTCGCCATCGCCACGAACAGGAAAGTGCCGATCATGCTGCCCGCTGACACGGTCTTCATCATGCCAATCGTGTTGACGTCGCAAAGAAATTGGTCCCGACCGTGATCTGATGGCGACGAGGCAGAGGGGAGGGGAGAGCCACTGCTGACTACAAAGGGACGGCCTGGTGTTGGTGTGGAAGCAGCAGCAAAAAGATGAAGTAGACGACTCGAGGCGCGATCGGAGAGAGCTGCGAGAGAGAGATCACTGGAGGTGCCCGATTGCTTGCGGTAAGAGTGGACAGATCGGCAGACCGGCGGGTGTGAAGATGTGTTTGCGGCGGATGGCGGCCTTGGCCGCAGGCGGCAGGCCTGTGTGGTGATTCCCAGCTTGCGAGCGAGCGAGCGAGCGAGCGCTGTGCCTTGCTTTGCTATATGCCGATTGCGAATGTGAGTTGTTTGCGCTTTTATACTGTTATACGTCCCAAGGCGTCTTTTTTTGTTCTCCTCCTACGGCCCGTCATTGAACTGACGTATACCTTTCTCGGTCGTTTGGCCAAAAAAATTAACCAAGTGTACTGGGGGCAAGTCCCACTAGCAGCGTTGAGCTACCTCAACGCCCGAATCTGGACGTTTTTGCGGAGATGTGCAGAAATGGTGTTGAGTTTGCTGAACTGCACGTCTCCACAAATACGTCCAGATTCAAGCGTTCAGGTAGCTCAAGGCTGCTAGTGGTCCAACGGGGGCCAAGTCCCACTAGCACGAGTTTGGTTTTCATTCCTAGACCTGCGCGGCCCTGTGCGGCTGGGGGTGGCACGTGTGACATCATTTGGAAGCTTTTTTGAGCATTTCTATAAGCCATGTAGGATTTCCAAAAAAAAAAAAAAAAAAAAAAAAAAAAAGCGGTGCCGAAAGGTCGTGCAATGATGACAATTTGGCAGGAGTTTAGACACCTGTGCGGGCCCTGTGTTGATTTGATCCAGGCCGTAGGGACGGGTAATGAGTTGTCCTCCTAAGACGACGGGGGGCAAGTCTCACTAACAGCTATGAGTGTCCTGAATGCGTGAATCTGGTCGTGTTTGTGGACATGTTCACAGATGGCGTTCAGTTTCGTCAACCGCACATCTCCACAAACACGTCCAGATTCGGGAGTTGAGGACACTCAACTTTAACGCTGCTCCAGTGGAACTTGGCCCCGGCATAGCGGTGGAGTGTTCGGCAGAACGTGCAGAGCTGAGCTTCCAGGGTCGAAGGGCTGACGCAGTTTGCGAAAGTCTATACAAAGCCTGGCCGTTCAGAGGGGAGCATCTGCCCGCATAGGCACGTTCGATACATTCACAGTCACAGATGGTGTCGCGAACGTGAATTTTTGCATTTTTTGTGCCAAATCACAGTCACAGATGGTGTCGCGGACGTGTGACTGACTGCGTCCTCAAACGTCGCCTCACCGACCCACTACACCGCATATGTCAATGACGTGAAACTGAGTATATGATCATATACTCAGTCTGGAGTCGTGGAGATGTGTGTAGCATGGTGTGCAGTCCCTTTGACGCCAGTAAACCACAATTGCATTGAACACAGGCAGATTCATTTTCGGATCGAAACAGTTGCCTTCAGTTTCTGTAACTGGACTCGTGAGCACGTGTGGGAGCAACGCGGTAGCATCTTTTTTTTTTTTTTTGGGTGTGTGCGTGAGAGAGAGAGAGAGAGAGAGAGAGAGAGG